CAAATGCCTAGAGAGAAATCTCTAGGTCCTCCAGGATGACTTTTGGCAGAAGTTGACAACAGCGTCACAATGGAGGACCTAGAGACTCCTAGGGAGAACATATCAACCAAATCCGTGAATGATCAAATCCACAAAAGTCAAAGCTGCTAATACGGAGGACCAACTGTACTATACATTCATACACTCCAACCCTTCATAGATAAAAACCGGGAAACGTCTGGCTGTGTAACATCAGAGTGTGGTCAAGATGCAAAAATTAATAATGGGACAGAACAGACAAGCTAGGATAGGTTGCAATAGTGTTACATCTTATAGCCTCCAAATACCCTTTGGTGGGAAGGGTGTTATAAATAAATGTTGTTGTTGTTACTGCTGGAAGCAAACTTTATCTTCCAGACTGATTCTCTTCTTATCCAGGAATGTAACCAGAGCTAACAAGTGTCTTGCAACAATAACTGGAGCCAAACAATTGCTCTGCCACTATGTATTTCAGTACGAGAAAGTGAGCCCCTCACAAGTTTGGGAAAGTTCATGTTTGATCCTTTGCTGTTGTTATTTACCTTCGAATCAACTTCAGTTTATGGATAAGAAACCTTCTGCAAACCCTGTTATTGACAGTCTTGCGCAGCTCTTGCAAATTGCCTTCCTTCTCCATCAGTTGTATAGTCTTCCTTTTTTCCTACGTCCTTCTGCTTTACCAAGCCTTATCCTCTTTGAATCGTGTCACCCCAAAATATGCCCAAAGGACAATAATCTCAGTTTAATCATTTAGGCTTCTAGGGACATTTAAGACTGTAAGACCCATCCATCTTATTACCAGTACATAGCATCTGCAGGACTCTTCTCCAGTTATTGTTGTTGTGTGCCTTCAAGTAGTTTCCAACTTATGGCGACCCTGTCATGGGGTTTTCTCGGCAAGCTTCTTCAGAATGGGTTTGCCATTGCCACCCTCTGAGGCTGAGAGAGCATGACTTGCCCAAGGTCACCTAGTGGGTTTCCATGGCCAAGCTGGGATTCGAACCATGGTCTCCAGAGTCATAGTCCAGCACTGAAACCACTACGCCATGCTGGCCCCTTTTCCAGTACTACATTTCAAATGAGTTGCTTCTCCTATCAGCTTTCTTTACCGCCCAGCTTTCACAATCATGCACAGAAACTGGAAATGTTATGCCATGGATGATTCTGACTTTGGCATTGAATAATTGTTTGGCACTACAACTCCCAAGCAGCCAACATGGCTAATCCATATCTCTCCAGCACCTGGTCCCATTTGCCACACCAGCTGCCCTCTGGACTACTTCATCTTCCAAGTCTCCTCCTGCCCTTGGCTTCTCCATTAACAGGATTCACAAAATGAAGTTTCTCCTCCTCTTTGCGGTTTCTGAAACAGAGCTGAGACAGCCAAGCTGCCTGCAGCTTGTGCAATGACCACAGGAAGGAAGGATGTTCGCTTTTCGGTCTTATAACCCCTTTCCCAAACACTTTGCATGCAACCGAAAGAGGAAGGCTTGCTTTAACAGATTTTTCTGCAATGTTGACCCAGCAAAAGAGAGGAGGCGAAGCTCGACCATTTTAGGCCATCTTCTTAGGATCCATTTCACACATATGCCACTAAAAGGGAGCTGGAGATCCTTGCTTATTGTTGGCACGCATATACGAAAGACCAGCAGAGGCTTTAGACTACATTAGGCCACACTGCGGAATTAATGCACTTTGAAACCACTTTAACTGTCATGGCTCCACACCATAGATTTGTCTGAACTTCTTTGCTAAAGGCTTTGTTAACCTAGGTATATCCGTACTCGAAGAGAGACAGTCTGATGTAGTGGTTTGACACTATGACTCTAAAGACCAAGGTTTGATTCCTAGCTTAGTTATGAAACCTCCTGGGTGACCTAGGGCAAGTCACACTCTCTCAGCCTCAGGGGAAAGCGATGGCAAACCTCCTCTGAACAACTCTTGCCAAGAAAACCCCAGGATAGGTTTGCCTTAGGGTTATCATAAGTCAGAAGCTACTTGAAGGCACACAAGAACAAGAATCATATAATAATATTTCTTACCTCTTCTCTCCCCTTGGATCGAGTTGGGGAACCACAACAATAAACCCATCAGTTAAAACACACATCAATTTAAAAACGACATGAACCAGCAGCCAGGAGAGGCAAATGAGGCCTGCCTTCTCCCCGCACACATGGCACAATAGTTGCGTTCATCTCGGAAACAGGAAAGGTATCGTTTGTGTACAGCAGCGAAGTCCATTAACCGAAAAGCAGGGGAGGATTTGGACACATTCAAGAACTCGAAGAGGCGCATGGGATTTCATCTTGAATGGTATAAGCCAGAACTCGCTGGAGCCATTCCAGAGGAATCTCCCACAATACCTCGAGGCGCATAACACCCACGCAGATCTGTCTCCAGGCCAAGCAGAAAGCGTGCAACTGCAGAACGGAGGAGGAAGAAGAAAGCACAATGCAAACCAAAAGATGCACCCATCAGCTTTCTGTGATGCAGTGACTAAGAAGGTGCGATTACAGGAAAGAGGTTAACCGTAAAAAGAAAAGAGAGATTCTCTGGGACAGGGCTTTTAAAAAATTCCGTTTTACAAGAGGATGTGCTTCAGCTGAGATAGATTCACGAGAGACCTTTGCCCATGACATGGTTTGGCGTGCCGGCCCAGAACTGGAAATGTTAGGACTCCAGTCTCATTAATTTTTCATAAAGGCCTTCACAGAATAGCAGGCTTGGAAAAGAGAGAGAGAGAGAGGAGGACAACTGGTGCATTACTAGATTTTTGCACTGTCCCATAACAGATTGTTCCCAAGTCCCACGCAAACCTGATCCTGAACCGGGTAACTCCAAATCCTCAAGTTTAGCTCAGGTCAGGGCATACAAAAAGAAAGGCTTCTCTTAGCTTTGCAGGGAAGGCTGCTATAAAGATCAAGGAGAGAGATAAGAGAGAGGTCATTGTGAATCCAGGTTGCCTCTAAGCCAAGAAACAGAGCCTACTATGTCCTCACTAGGCCTCCTAGACCATGGCATATTAATGGGGTTGGCAACTTCAGTGCCTCTGGAGGCCAACTGTCTGTCTCTAGGATCTTCTGGGAGCTGCTCGGACTACCAAAAATGGAGAGGAAACCTCTCAAAAGAGTCAAAACAAAAGCAGGAGTTGTCAGAAGTCCCCCTTCTGCTTTTGAAAAACAAGTGTTTTTCAGATAAAGGGCCACTTGCAGTCTGTTTTTCAAATGAATGTCCACTTTTAGAACTTTTCGACACTAGACATGATACCTAGCTTTAATATCCGAAGGGATGAAGTGAGTTTGTTTTTTGCGGCTCCAGAGACTAGGATACGGAGCAATGGATTCAAATTGCAAGAAAAGAGATTTATTTTTGGTGAGTTTTTCGGGCTGTGTGGCCATGTTCTAGAAGAGTTTCTTTCTGACGTTTCACCAGCATCTGTGGCTAGCATCTTCAGAGAGTGCTGGAATGGAAGAGAGTGGGTCTATATATACTATGAGACCCTGGGTAGAGAGAAGTATATATAGACCCACTCTCTTCCATTCCAGCATTCTCTGAAGATGCCATCCACAAATGCTGGAGAAACGTCAGAAAGAAACTCTTCTAGAACATGGCCGCACAGCCCAAAAAAACCACAAAAAACTATGGATGCCAGCCATGAAAGCCTACGATTTCACAGAGATTTATTTATTTATTACCTAAACGTTAGGAAGAACATCTTGACTGTAAGGCCAGTTTGACAGTGGAATACACTTCCTTGGAAGGTAGCAGGTGTCCTCCATTGGTGGCCTTTAAATAGAGGTTGGATGGACATTTTTAGGAGTGCCGTGACTGTGTATTTCTGCATGGCGGGAGGTTAGATTAAATGGCCGTTGTGGCTCCTTCCAACTTGAGGATCCAATGGTTCTATGGGATGTTTGAGGGCTGCAGAATGGCCACCGCTAGCGTGCCTCACAATAAAACAAGGTAAGCCCCTTCAACAAAGCTGGAGTGACTGCCAAGAGTCCTAGGGTTGCCAGAATGAAAACTGGAGAGCGCTCCTCTACCTGTCCATGGTTGCACAGAAGAAGGAAATCCAACAGGTGTGGCTTGTTACCTTCCTGTGCGGCAACCAACGCCTGCCGAAATTGTTGTTGTGCACCTGCAAGTCATGTCCAACTTATGGGGCTTTTCAGGGGCTGAGAATGTGTGGCAAGCCTTAAAAGTAGAAGAACTCTCTCTAGTTTTCACTCTGGCACTTCGACAAGTGGGCCAGCCGGTCTGTGCATCCCTCCTGAGATTCTTTCCAACCTTTGGGAGGCTTCCTAGTGCTCCCAGGTGCTTTCCTTTGGGTTCATCCCTTAAGTCCCGGAGGAGAGGTGTCTCTCTGACATTCCTCCAAGGCGTCACCCACATTTCCCTCCTGCTTTCTCCTAGCCCCGCATCTATCTCTAGGCAACCTGACCTGGCCATGGCTATCTCCAACTCTCTCTCACTCTCTTTCTTTCCACCCAACCCCATCTTCTCCTGTTCCCACGGAAAAGCACCGCACAAAGTCTTTTCTCAGCCCCCAGGAGAAAAGGGGCTTTGTTAGCTTGCCCAAGGAGACAGCGTGAGAGCCGAGCGGCCAGGCACTGGGAAGCCGAAAGGACAAAAAACGATGGGGAACAAAACAAAATAAAATACCCCCAGAAGAAAGACTGAAAGCATGAGAAAGAAGAAGAAGAAGCCATTCCCAGGACTGGCTGTAGGTGTTGAGCCATTGCACACAGTCGCAAAAGTTGCCACTCCGTGCAAAGCCAAAAGTGAGCATTTGGAGTAGCTAGCCATAGTAAAAGACCCCCATGGGCCTAGGAGAAGTACCGAAAAGTGGTCCAGATCGATCCAGGCTGGACCCAATTGTGTAGCAGTTACACATTTGCTATGACTATGCTATACAGAAATGGTAAATTTCAAAATTTGGGCCCTCCTTGTGGCAGCCCCTATAGCAGCATCCCCCTAAGAAGAGTCAGAAACTATAGGCAATTGTGTTGGGTCCAGCATAAAAACCATTTCTAGTAGTTTGTACGTTTACCAGGAGCGAGTCTTTTGTAAAGCTAATGGCTCCTGACCACTCAAACCCAAGTCAGTCCCATTTCTTTAGAATGCAGCAGGGACATTTCCAAAGCAATACACCATTGTTGGGAAAACCCATTTCCCCTCCAGGTAGTGTAGGCTCATAAAAATTAAGGACGAGAATCACACAGATATTGTTGAACTGCACTGTATTTCCCAGCAGCCTTTATCCCCACAGCCAACAGGCTACAACATCATTACTACCCCACCTTATAGGAAAAACACAAGTGAGGCTGACCCTAACAAGTTCAAGGCAACCTGGCAAAGTATATGGATAAGTATAATGGATATGGATAAATATAACGGTTATATAAAGATTTCTCCAAAGCTTATAAAGAAGCTTTCCTTCCAAGAATCCCAGGCTAGTACACCAGAAGGCGAGGTTGTATTTTTAAACCAGGGGCAGGAATCATGTTGTCCTCCAAATGCTGTTGGACTGCACATCCCATCATCCCTAGCCAGCATGTGTGAAGGATGGTGAAGGATGCTGGGAGTTAGAGTCGAGCCACATCTAGAAGGCTGTGCTTTGCTTGCTCCAAATGAAACTGATGATTCCCAGCTTCCTCCTCCCAAAACTTCTGTCTTTGCCAAACAACTCTCCATACTGCTAATGTTTCATTTCTAATAATTGGAAAGCTGCAGCATCTCAAGTTCAGAAGTTTCTGA